TTTATTATATTACTAACTTTGATATACTTGTTGAGCAGTTAAGCATTATGTACTTTTTTTTAGCCTATGTAACTTCCTTCTTTTTTTTTTTTCTATTTGATCTCTTTCTTTCTGATATTATATGGATAAAACTCATAATATATGTTCCACCACTCAGAACTGAATTCCAGAAGACTATGCAGAGATTTAATTCTGAAATAGTTAATGTAAAATGGATGATAGATTAAAGGACAAATGAAAATAAAATCTCAACATCTCTATGTAGATAAATAATTTTCAGGTTCATTCCTTGTATCTCAATGAATCAGCCCAATGAAGCACAAGTTTATCACTTTCTGCCAGACATGCCAATGACACATTAAATAGCTTTACAACAGACATCTGAATTTATGAGGGATCTGAAAAAAAATTAGTGAGTATTGATTAAAGCAGTTCAAATTCTGAAAATATAAAATTATTCCCATTGAATGGATTTTGTTTTAATGGATATTAGTGATGTACTTCTGTGAGACTACTCATTGATAAAAAGAAATAAATATTCCCAAGTACTTTCCTGGGTCAGTGAATAAAATTCCAAGTAAATTAACATTTGTGTGAAATACTAAAAATATATGAAACACAATAATTTACTATAAAATACATGAGTAAGATATAGCAAGAAAAAATACCATGTGGTACCTAGTTTTCCATTTTCTATACCTACCATCTCACTCCTGCCTTTTCTAGTAAATGGAAATAATCAGTTTATTGTCTTGAAATGGGATTAATTTCATACAAACTTACATTTGAACTAATCATAGAATCATAAAAAACAGCCCAGGTTTTGAAGGACCTCAAAAGATCATATGGCCCCACCTTTCGTGAGAAAGTGAGACTACGTGAGATTATCTAGCACCCTGCCTAACTGCATCTTGAAAAGTTCCAGTGACGGTTTTTCATCACATCACCTACATTTTGCTTATGGTGGAAACAAACAGGTACTTCTAGTGCATTTCATCATAGAGCAGTGCTCACCCTGAGGACTCAAAAAAATCTTTATGAATGTTATTGCCCTCTTCAACCAAGTTCAGAGAGAGAGAATCACCCAGCCCCACACCACAAATCGCCAGGAAGTGTTTTCAGTCCTCTGATCATCAGGTGGGCCAGGAAGACGCTCAGAGAACTGGAGCACCTCTGCTATGATAACAGGCTGAGAAAGCTGAGTCTTCAGACTGGAGAAGAGAAGGCTCTGAGGAGACCTTAGAGCACCTTCCAGACCCTACAAGAGATCTGGAGAGGGACTTTTTACAAAGGAATGTAGTGATAGGACAAGGGAGAAGAGTTTTAAAGTGAAAGAGGGAAGATTTAGATTAGATATAAGGAAGAAATTCTTTACTGTGAGGGTGATGAGGTACTGGCACAGGTTTCCCAGAGGAACTGTGGATGCTCCATTGCTGAAAGTGCTCAAGGTCCAGTTTGGATTGGGTTTTGAGCAACCCAGTCTGGTACAGGTTCCCTGTCCATGGCACAGGGGTGGAACTAGATGAACTTCAAGGTCCCTTCCAACTCAAACCATTTTATGACTCTGTGATTCTATGAATCTGAAAAATTCTGTTGAATCAGCAAACTGTTGTCTCATGTTTCATTTCCTTTCACAGTTTATTGTGAACACCTTGAAAATTGAAGTCCTAGCCAGGTGAATATCAATTGGTATACCTTCTTTGTGAATTTCAACCTAAACACTCTTCCCCTCTGCTTGCTTCTCTCTCTTCCCTCAGGAGAACTGACTATTCCTTTTCTGTTTTGCAGGGTGACAACCTGATTAGCCATCAGGGAAAAAAATTAATTTTCCTCTCTGATGAGCAAAACAGAAACTATATAAATCTCTGAATTAAAATTTTCTGTATTCACAGTCTCTCCACACCAATAGACTATTTATAAAAATAAACTTATTTTTCAAGGAAAAGAAATTATTTTCAATTTTCCACACTATAGTATTACATTCTGTAAAAGCAGGATTTTCTTCAGTCCTGATTCAGAGTTATTTATTCTATCCATACCCTTAGGCAGAACTAGGAGCAGCTTGAGTAACTGTGGAGAAAAGCAAACTGTAGTAATCAGATGTGAAAAACAGGAAAGCCAGTTTGTTTTTAAATTGTTGCTGACCAATTATCTACAGAAGCATTTTCAGAGTGAAGATGGTAGGTAGCAGACAGAACAAACTGGCCTCCTTTCCCAAAGTTCACAGATTTTGTAGCCTTATCTCCAATGTATTTAGTCCAATGTGTAATAAGTCTTTAACAAATGTGAGATAAACTGACATACAATTATACTTAAGCTTCAATTTAGTAAAATGTAGGTTATCTGAGTTTGTGCACACCCTCACATCCTACAAGGGTGAACCAGTAGTACATTTTAAAATAGTAGAAATTAAGAACAAAAGGGGGGAAAGTCTAAACAGCAAGGAATCCAAACATGTCACTGTGAAACAAAGAAAATAAAAAACCCAAATAAAATTCTTGAAAACATTTGTTAAAGCTACAATTAAAAAAAAAAATAATCAAACCATGAAGCGACAAGCAAACAGATTAAAAAAACAGTCCAACACCAAAAGAAAGCAAGAAACATGTACTTCTTTCTGTCCCTTGCTGGTTTATCACTATGGCTGGAGTAGGGAAGTAATTCAGAATCCCTACCTTTGCCAATAGCATCCCTTTTAGTAGTCTGTGTTGAGCTGAATTCCATTCCCCCCACTGGCAGGATGGGAGAGAACAGGAAGAACAAAGCAACAAAACTTTCACAATAGCAACAGTTTCAAGATAAAGAGAGTTTAATAACTTAAGACAAAGGTAAAAACAAAACAAGTGATGCAAAGGCAATCAGTCATCACCTCCTACAAACAGACCGATACCCATTCAGTCTCTGAGCAATGGTTGCATCCTCCAGAAAACACTCCCCACAATTTTTACTGCTGAGCATCATATATGGTACGAAATATCCCTTTGGTCATTTCAGGTCAGCTTTCCTGGCTATGTCCACTTCCAACTTCTTGCCCACTCCCTGCCTACTTCTTGAGTGGAAAAGTGGGAAAAAAGAGAAAGCCTCAAGAGTCTGCAAACCCTGCTCAGCAATAACAAACACAGTGGTATTTTGCTAATGTTTAGTCACAAATCAAAATGGACTTGTGAGCACCATACCAGCTGCCACAAAGGAAAGTAATGCTGTCTCAGCCAGACCCAGTGCACAGTCCCAGGGGTCACACAGCACAATTCGTAACTTTGAGCTGGACATTTACAAAAGGGGTCTCTTGCAACCAGAATGCAAGTAGCAGGAAGTGTGCTCAAACAGTACTGAAGGATGATGTTTCAGAAGTCCCACCTTGAAGTAGATGACTGAATATGTAAGAGATCATGGTGTCAGATGAAAATAAAGCAAGCTAAAAGAATTACTCAGTAACCTTTGATTGGTTCCCACTGATTAAATATTTTGTATGATATTAACAAGGCTGCGTAAGCTGGAACCCAGAGTGAATTGAGACTACCCAAGCCTCACTGCTGAGTGCCTTTTGAACAGAAGTGCTGGAGTACCTCTCTTCTAACCTGAGTGACATTTAGAAAATAGGGCACTCATTACAGAGATAGAAGATGTAGGTATGATTTTCTAAAAGTTAGATGAGTCTTCCATCCTCAACCTTCTGCTTTCTGGACAACTATCCTTTTAATAACTATGCTATTATATTAGTAGCTTAATATATTTTATAATACTGACTTCTTCAATGGTGTTTCTAAGTGCCCAAACCTTTTCTGAAGCATTTCTTTCAAACTGAAAACCCACTATATTCAAATAAAGAGAATGTTTTCTTAACTATTATTTCATGAAAATGCAAAGACATAATTTTGATAGAAGTAAGAAATGAAATCTTCCATTCTCTCAGGAACTTTGGCAACAGCCCACCTTATCTCAAATCTCATAGAACCAGCCCTTTCCCCTATGACCTGATGCATTTACCCCAAACCACTCTGATTATGGTAACAGGCTGTGGTAGTAGAAAAGTCTCTTTGTAGATCCATCTCCTGGCCCATCAAAATTTGAGTTTCCTTCAGCCATATGGTCTACAGTTGTTCTAGGAAATTCTGCCTAGTGCTTCCATTGAATGCCCATGTACAGGATAAGGAGCAGCAACTACGTATTTCTCCCTGATTTCTCACCTCTGTTGTGTTACATCAACAGTTCTGGAGCACTTCTTGGTTCTGAAAAACAATCCTTCAGGGATGTAACTTACCATTTTGTGAGGAATAACTTTCAGCAAATTTAGAGGTTTTTTTATGTGCAATAACAATACAAGTAGCAGGAGGGCAGTTCACCAATACACAATAGACCTGACTCAGTGCTTCACTGAGATTGTCTGTAAGAGATTCAGCCTGATGGTATTAATCAACACCAAGAAAAGGACTGCAAGATCATGCAACTACACTTTATCTTGACCTAGAGAGATCACCTCCAAGTAATAAAAGCAAGTTTAGTTCCTTTGGTCATGTAATTTCTGCCTTGCTGATAAGACTGTCAAAGCCCATGTCATTTATGGTTGCTACAGATGCTATTCTGAGATACAGTTGTCAGTGAATCAAATGATAACTGCCAATAAACAGGCAACAGGGGATAACAATTTTTATCTATACTGCCTTGCAGTGCAGACCGGAAAAGCACTGCACATGGAGTGAACATGAACAGGGTTTATCCTCACACAGTCAATCTGATAAATGAAACAAATCAGCAAAAACTAACCACTATTCAATAAATTATTTTGTTTTGGTCTGAGGTCAAATGCTGCAGGAAACTCTATATCCAAAATGAATTAAATAACTGGAAAATTTTTAATAATGACATACATGACAAATCTGAGTATAGCACTATCTTATAGTAAAAAAGAGTAAATTAATTTGAAACAAGGCTAGAGACAGAACACTTTGGACATAAGATATTCTGTACACCAATAACAAAATCAAAGTGGAATGACTTACCACTTCTTCATGGGTTGCACTTTCTACATTTATACCATTAACCTAAAAACAGATATGATAAGGAGAAAATGATTCACAATGTGTAAATTAGTTACTGAAATAAAAGCAAGTATGAAACAAATGTCTGTGGAAAAAAGTGAATGTTTACTGACCTGTATTATTGCATCTCCTATAAATAACATTCCTGTTTGTTCAGCTGTGGGATTACAGAAGGAGTAGATTTTAATTGATAGCAGTACTGAAAAAAAATGCTATATTCTCTTCCAGCAACTGGTTTAACATGCTGTTAGTAATCTTCATTTGAAACTGATTTGGTTGTGAAAATACCAACGGCACAGCAATCAGTATTCATCCTACAAAGGTAATAGATTCCTAGCAATTTTAAACAAATTAAGATAGCTACTTTCCATGCACAAAGAACTTGTTTAGTGTGGAATGCAAATGTCACTTCCCACTAATGAAGGATTTCATTAAATTATGTGGAAAATGTGATTCACACTCTTCATTATTCTTCCACAAAAGGGAAGTAGGAATTTCTGAAACTACTTAGCAATTCCTTTCCCCCTGAACAAATTTAAAGGGACTGCTGTAATTAAAGAGGTTGTGCCTAGAATTTGATAGAACCCTTTAACATGAAGTTTAAAATAGCTTTGTTCTCAAGAATAACGTTATTCCAATGTGCAATTTGCATGTTTCCTGCCATACAGGGAATAATGCAATGAAACTGTAAATAATTCTGCACAGATACAAACAATGACATTTTTGAGGTGTATTCTCTAACTTTTAAACTCTATTTTTTTTGTGGAATTTGAGGATGTTTATCTCATGAAATGTACTACATAACTGAAAGTAAGGCTCTGACCCTGCAAAGACTGATAGTATTAAGTAAGACCTATTAGTCTTATACAAGATCTTTCAAGTCACAGTTTGAGACTTAGAAGAATGCAACAAATGTTAACAAAGGCAGTATTACAAGAGACAGAAATAGAGGTAAAAAAGAAAGGAATACTGCATAGATTATTCTCACAATTTCTTCAGTACAGCTGTTGCCACTATAAATTTACCTTTGGTACAAAATAGTGCTTTTTGTAATACAATTTTTCTTTCAAATAGACTTTTCATTACTCTTTTTGCAGATAAAAGATAACAGTTCATTAGTCAACACATAGGAAATATTTCACTATTTGTTTTAAATATCATGCTACAAGTTGCATTGAAGGTCTTTACCCCACCTCTCATCCTACTTTGTATTAAAAATAGGCATACAAATTGTAATAGCTGGTATAGAAAAGAGACATCTATGTACAGAAATTGAACTGAATTAAAACTGTTCAAAACCATTACAAAGCAATCCAAAGTAGCCTATATTGGATAAATAGTTTGTCAGAGGTTCTGAGCATTAGATTGGGTATCTCAATAGTAAACTTATATTTGAGATATTAGTATATATATACCAATAGAGAAATACATATGAAGAATTTCTAATTCAGTGCTTATGTTAGGGTTGTTCTAGAAAAGTGGAAGCATACTTGAATTGGTGTTAGAAGGAAGGAGCTCTGTTTGAAATTCCAGTTGCAGGAAAGTAGAAAAGGATAAATTCAAAGGGTTCATGCCTTGCCCAACGTGTGTGATTGACTCAGAAGTGAGTGCAGAAATTATGTCTGTATTAGCAAGTTGTTGTGGTTTAAACCCACTGGCAACTATGTACCATGCAGCCACCTGCTCAACCCTCCTTCAAAATCCCACAGCCCACTACCTGCTAGCCCCTAGTGGGATGGGGAGGAGAATTGAAAAAAAAATCTTGTGAGGTAAGAACAGTTTAAGAATGGAAGTAAAGTATAATATGATAATAGTAGTGGAAAGGAGATAGTGTGTGATAAAATCCAAGAGAAAAAAGTGAGGTACAACACAATTCCTCATCACCAATGCCCATCCCATTCCTGAGCAGCTCCCAGACAATTCCCTCTAGTTTATATACTGAGCATGATGTTCTATGGTATGGAATATTCCTTTGCCCAGTGTGTTATCAACATCATTACCATACTCAATACAAAACATAGCACTGTACCAGGAACTAAGAACAAAATTCTATCCCAGCTGAAACCAGAACAGAACAGGTTTATGTGATGAGGCAGAACAGAGAGAGATCATAAATCAAAGTAGTTGGTGCTGAGGCTCCTTACAGTCACACTGTAAGGGTTTCAGAGATTTTAATTGAGATCAGTTAGACTGGTCTTTCAGTCTAAATGCTCTCAAGTGCAGAGAAGCTGCCTAAGGAAATCTACTACACAAAACTTTCTGTTTTGTGGACTCCTAAGCAGCCCATTCTAAGGCACACCAGTGCCACCCAGTGATGCGATCCTGCTGCCAGTAACAGCTGTAAGAGGCCACAATACACAGAAGCAGACCTTGCTTACAAGTAATGCAGTGGTCCTTGAAACTGAAATCAATGTAGAGCTGGACATCAAGCGAACAACTGTAACACAGGGACAGTGTTACAGGGACAGTGGTTTCTCAACTTCCTTCAGGAGGACAACTCTAATAAGCCAATCCTCTGATATTAGATTGTCTTTATGGAGGTTGCAGTAGGATTCATGCTCCAGTGTTCCTCACCAAGGCAGATGTGTTTGTTTACGCTTCAACAAGTACCAGTCAGCTGATCTGCAGCCACAGATGTGATGAGGATGGCACACATGGGCAACAGGTAGTGCTGTTTTCCTGAGACCCTCATGTTTTTGGCTCTGCTGGGTGGTCAAAGCTGCTGTTGCTATTGGGAAGATCAGTTGGAAACAGCAATACAGAAAAAAACAGTAAAGAAAGAGATGTGGGGATGTGAGAGGTGAGTTTGGAAAGAATTTCTGTAAGAGATCAAAAGAGAAAAACGTAAGGTAAGAAAGCAAAGCATACTGAGCCAGAAAATGTGTGAAAACCGAGATCCTGATGGAAGGGTGCATGGTGAAGATTTGCAGGCAGGTAGGTAGGTAGCATCACCATCCTCCTGGATATTCATCTATCTGTGATGACACAACAGCACAGTTGTACAATGTTATCTAAGTCTTCCAAGAAAACTACTTGGTTCTAACAAAAATTATAATAAAACACATAGACTAATATTTATTTATGAAAAAAAGGAAAGGTTAAATTCCAGACACAGGTAAAATTCTTGAGATAGAGCTAGTTAACAACTCCAGGCTTAAAAAGGAAAAGAAGTAATATGAAAAGGTATAAAACCTCAAGGAAGAAAACCAGATGGCTGGAGGATTGTAACTTAACAGCACTGAAGACAATTCCCTTCCAGGGAGCAATGGAGGTCGAACCTTTCTCATTGAGCTGTTTGTTGACTGACAGGTCAGCAAAGACTCATTGCTCATTTCACAGGGCTGATGAATACTGCAATATTCCCAGTTACCTCATGGGTGTTAGCCAATACATTTTATAGTTTAAGAGCACAAAGCAATTATATCCTGCTTGCAGTCTCTAAAAACAATCAAGCCTGTCCACATAAGTAAATGAGAGCAGGAGCATTATGTGGTCAATACCAAATACTCTGTGAACTGAAACAAAGCCCAGGAAATTGGGACAATCAGGGTATTTGCTCTAGAAGTGCATTACACTGCATACTAAACCAATAATGTAGACACCTGCTGCTGCTGTTATGGCTGTGCTTGTCTATGATGAAACACTCTGGGTTTAGACAATGGTCTACAATTTGAAATCAATGATGATTTCTAACAAATATATTTTCCACAAATCAAATTCCAGAGGATGTGTCACTACAATGTGGAATTTTCAATACAGTTTACAAGTATATTAGAAATAAAGTGACTGGAAAAACTCCTTGGAAAGAGACAAAATGGCAATCTTGTTTCTCTAAGGTATATTTTAAACCTGAAGACAAAACATCTACTGATGTTTTCACTAAGTCACATGTTCTCTACATGACAAAAATACTGAGTAAATTCCTCCAGGCTATGTGGAACTCTTTCTCCCACTGGTAACATTGTCATATACAAAGGTGTTTACAGAAGGTTGCTCTAAAATTATAAGTCACTATGTGTAAAATGAATCAACACAAAAAACAAAATACTTGAGGAAGAGCTTTGGGATACCAAGGAGCATATAACCTTATTCAGTGAAACAATAAACATAACTTTTTCAGAATCCAGTTTGCCTCTTGAAGTTTTACTTGAAATAATATTTTAATAGCAGTGAATTGAACATGTCAAAAAAAAAATACTTTGGAAAAAAAAGAAGTACAAAGCAGTGAAAAACAGAAATGTACCAGGCTGTAAAAGAAAATGAAGTGTGTGTTACAACAACTAGTGCTACATAACCTTTATTCTACATTTTAATTAAACTTAAAAACATTCAATATTGATTAGTTACTGTATATTGATTAAATTCAGAAGTGATACTGAATGGAGCAAACCTAAAGGGGTTTCGGTTGAAGTAATGGTATGAAAATAAAAATTTAAAAAAAAAAAAAAGTACTTTTGAGAATATTAGACTTGAAATACTTTCCTCAATGCAAATGACCTGTCATTCTAAATCTTTAAAAAAAAAAAAATCTCTGACAGAGCCAAGAGTTATTAAAAATTCTTTAGCATTCAGTGAGAAGTGAAAAAAAAAACAAGTAACCCTTTCTAGTTTTGCTTCGTTTACTTTTCCTATCCACTAGGGCTGTATCCAATTTTCCAAAAGTTGTGAAATGGAAAATTTACTGAACATAGTCTTGGGAATTTATGACTTACAACATATTAACTGATGAACATCTCTATGAAGATTTGAGAAAAATTTAGATGGTCCGAGGTTCCCACAGAATTCCAGCTATTTCTATGATTAAATGCAAGCTTCTTCATCCAAACCAAATGGCAATGGGATTCTTGTATATTATGAACTCAGTGAAGAAAACTGAGAAAAGAGTTTAGTTCTTTAACTAAGGAAAGAGGCTTAATGTAGCTCAGATCATCTTGTAGATGTTGCAGCAGAGAGATCCCACAGGAATGGTTATGATGACAAATTCTCAGTAGAACTAAATACTTCCTATTTTACATTCAGTTGCCTTTATAGAAAAACACCAATTATCAAAGTAAGGAAAGCAAATTGGAACATTAAGAGTGTAATTACTTTAAAATGTTACCTTTTTAAGAAAAGTCATGACAACTAAGATGTGACAGTAAGAAAAGTGAGGCAGAG